CTATTGAGCAGTACTTTTATGTGGTATTGTTTGTTGGCAAAATGATATTAGAGATTTTTTCTTCTTAAGTGCTGGTACGGATGAGCCACCAGGCCTCTCTGATCCACTGGAATGGACTTTAACCTGTAACCTAATTCATTCATCTTTACTTATCTTGTACACAAACTGGATATTCAAGGTCGCTAATATTGCATTGATTTCTTTTTCAGGTGCCTTAAAGATCTGATGAGTTCTTTTAATTCCACCGCTGATCTTTTACTCGATCACCTGGCCACAATGGCTGATGGGAAAACAGAAGTTTGCATGCTTGATGAGTTCGCCCGTGCCGCATTAGATGTTATTTGCAAGGTAAAGCCGCACTCGGGCCAAGCTGGTCCACTCTGCCGTAGCTTATCCCGGTTTCCTTAGCATGAAGCCAACTAGGAGTATTGTTACTCCCCCTGGATGGGATGCTAGTCCATCGCAGGTTAATACCCCCAGCATTTTGTCGGCGGTGACCATTTATATTCCTGGGAGAGAGGCACTGTGAGAGTAAAGTGTCTTGCCCAAGAACACAACACACTGACCCAGGCCAGGGCTCAAACCTAGACCGCTCGATCCGGAGTACAACGCGCTATAACCATTATGCCACTGCGTCTCCCACATCATTTGCAAGATGATCTTGTGCCTAACGTGGTTGAAATTGGCTTCAGACGGAGTCTTTAGGTTAAGGGGTTGTCTAATGTGGGTCAGTGGGAGATGCTGTGGCCTAATGGCTAGCACATTGCACACTGTAAATGTACACTGCAAATACAAACATGCAATTTTTTTAATATTAGCTGCATGGCTTTTTTTTTGTTAAATGCAGGTCGCCTTTGGAATGGACATAGACGTCATCAGTGAAAAGGACACCAAGTTTTCTGAAGCAGTTTCATTGAGTTTTCATGGAGTAGATGTTGCCAACCTCCAAATATTTCACAAGGTAACTACCAGGTTTTTTCAGGATCCGAAAAAAGAGTTCCTGCCAACCAAAATAAAATCCGAAAAAAATTTACTCCACTCTGAAGACAAAGAAAACAGTAGGAAAAGGAAAACAACAGTAATAACTCGGACAATGTAGGGCTACTATTAGAATGTATCTGAATATTCATCTAGTGCTATGCAGTGTCGTTGCTTTATTACCGGAGTAATTAACCACAGCAGAACAAGAATAGATGTTATTGTAATACAGTCAACTCTTGGTAAGTAAGAGTAAAGACGGACACCATCGGCACCACCTTAATGACTGCAGACTAATAATAAAATAAAAAATTATAATTAATAATAATTATTAAACCCTGATTAACGTATTTTACTCTACATGTACATCATATAATCCTCCCGTTTTTGATGATGATGACGACGACAACACTGCTCGCCAAACCATAATCATTGATAGACAATTTAGTTAAACTTGACAAGGGTTCATAAACATTGCTTACTCAACTTCAAATATTGATCTATTAAGCAGTCACCCCCTATAAGCGGTCAGTTATCAATTAGTCCCGAAACTATTGTCAGTATAATGCTGTAAATAAAACTGCTATTAAGCGACCACCTCTATTAAACGGCCACGGCCAACTTTTGGTGATTCTGATGAGAATTTTTCTATTGTTCTTACCCCTATTAAGCAGCCACCATACCCTATTAAGCGGCCAACCCCTATTAAGCAGCCACTTGCCATTTCCCCGAGGGTGGCCGCCAAAGCTACACAGCAGTATCTTTAAAACTTGTTTCAATTTCCACATCACATGTTGTTTGTGTTCATATTTTTGCAGTGGAATGTATTCCAGTATCCATTTCAGCGGCGTGTGGTCAAAGCTGTCCAGTTCTTGCGTGAAACTGGAAGGAAAGTGATTGAAGTGAGAAAGAATGCAATGAAGAGAGGAGAACAGCTCCCTGATGACATATTACAACGAATTATTCAACAACAAGGTTTGCTTGTAGGGGGGGGGGGGGGGGGGGGCGGGGGGGGGAGGGGCGGGAGACAGGGATGTCTAGTGAACTTCCCGCTTCCAATACATTTTAACCCTTTCACTCCCAGAGTCAAACCTTGACTCAATAAATGTGGTTGTACCTTTTGAGTCTGTGACTATAACATTAAAATCTTTATTTATAGAAAAATGTATGAAATTTTCTCATAAGAGACGACTCTGTAATAAATGAAGAAAGGGATTAGTTTTTTTTGTGCTGAGTTGGGGCCAATTGAAACACTTAGTTCATTTAACTTGAAGTCGAGAAAGGTAAATTAACCGCCGTAGCGAATTTGGAAAAAAACTGACGTTTCGAGCATTAGTCCTTCGTCGGAGGTCGGAGCCCCTCTCCAACCTGACACACCCCCCCCCCCCCACCAAGAAAAAAGTAAACCCCCGGTACTTGTGACCATGAACAATAATTACAAATAAATATTCGTAATAGATACATTTTTTTTCTTAGAGTGCAGCCCAATTGAAATGTGTTTATTTGTTATAACAAGCTGTGTATCTGTTTTTCCTGTGCAGAGGCAGAGCCAAACCTCGGAATAGAGGACATGTTGGATGATTTTGTCACTTTCTTTATTGCTGGTAAGACACGTACGTTGCTTTTGACTCAGTTGACTGTTTTATTATATGGAAAACTGGTCCACAATGAAAAGGAGCATTCTGATTGGTTCCCTGAGCGGTCCGAACTTTGCAATACGGACCGCTAAGATGGACCGCTTACGAAATCATTTCGCCGAATTCCTTTTATGGTCTTCTATGAAACATTGAATGAAGAAAACTTTTTTCTATTAAGAAGAAACATTTTTCCTTATGTCTGGCGGACAATTTTAAACTTTTGGCAAAGTGGCCTGAAAATGCAAGAATACGCTTTACTTTGGCGCGCGTGGGTAAGCCGAGAATGCGTTACATTAATTTATCAGCAAAGTTTTTATTTAAAAAAATCCATTAGCACTCCATAAACTTGCAAAAAAAAAGAACTCGACCAATATTCCCCAATACGGACCGAACAAACTAGTTCAATAACAGCCATATATATATATCCACTGCTTTACAATGGATATATCCATTTAGGTCATTCCATCGACATAGAACTTACAATAGATTTTCATTGAAACTTTGCGTGATTGATCATTGCCCAATCTCGTTCCCAGAGTCTTCGTTACCCTTGTCCAGCGGTGGAGCGGTGGGTCATAGCGGATCGCTTCCCCAGAGCTAGAGGTCCTTGTTGGCCGCTCCACCGCTGGACAAGGGTAACGAGGACTCTGGGAACGAGATTGATCATTGCCATGAATAGGTTAGACTGCAAAAACAGTCGTTATTTTCCGCTCAATTCGCTGCTCGCAAAGGCGCGAAGCGCCGTGAGCGTGATCCTCGCTCGAAGCGCGCGAGCCTCAATGAGGCCTCTCCGTTTTCACACTCGCTCCAGTCCTTTCATTCGAAGACCGCGCGTCGTAACGCAAAAAATACGACTGTTTTGCAGTCTATGAATAGGTCGCCAGCCCCGCAAAAGAGAAATGGCCGATTAAAATACCTCATAGTTTCTTACAATATCAACTATGAAAGACGCGTTTGTTCTGGATAAGCTCACATTTTCAGTGATTATTTATTTTTATGCAATGGAAATTGGTCTATACTCATTGTATAGAAAGATGATGATTGCTATCTAGACTAATATATGCACAAAAAAAAGATAGGTCACCATGCTCCCTGGCGGAAAAGGCCGCCATGTTTTTAATGTGCGCGCGCTAATTACGCGCGAAATTATGCGCAGAAAGGATACGCAGAGATTGATACCCAGTACAGTGCAATCAATCTCGTTTCCAGAGTCCTCGTTACCCTTGGCCAGCGGTGGAGCGGCCAACAAGGACCTCTGGGGAAAGCGATCCGCCATGACAGGATTCTTGGACTTCCGGTTCTACTGCGCATGTGTTCGACTCCGTGTTTCAACTAACGGACGCCAAGATTCTTGGACTTCTGGTCTTATTGCGCAGGTCAGGCGGATCACTCTATCCCAGAGGTCCTTGTTAGCCGCTCCACCGCTGGACAAGGGCGAGGACTCTGGGAACGAGATTGCAGTGCAATGCTAAGGAATCACCTTAAAGCGCGGAAACTGGCGCGGAAACTGGTGTCAAGAAGAGCGAGAAAGGCGCTAAAAGTAACCATTCTAAAGTGTGGGAAAAGCAAAAGCTAGACGTATATATTGTTTTAGGTTTTCCTGCTCTTTACACCATTTACACGTTTTGCCTTTCCCCCGCTTTACATTAGTCACGTGTTTTATTTCAGGTCACGAGACTACGTCCAGTTTTGTTGGCCTTTTGTGTTCTTGAGCTTGGAGATCATCCTGAGATAGTGGACAGGTGAGACTGTTTAGAAGGAATTACTCTTGATTTCCTACTGTAACCCTGACCCGGTTGTTCAAAGAATGGATAACGCTAGCCACCGATAAATCACTATCCAGCGGATAGCGTGGTTGGTTTTGGTAACATTACATACATACATTTTATTGGACACTCCCCATAGGGCTTTTCAGGCCAATTTACAAATAATGATAGTTAAGAATATATACATGTTTACATTAGAGAGATTAAGCACCACGTTCTACAGCAAACGGCAAACGTCAGCTTACAGTTGGTTCTCTCATAGTTAATCGAACGAAATGGTTATGAAGCCCGGCAAAGTTCTTTGTTATATGTTTTTGTTCGCTTTTTGGCCTTCGCCGTGCACAAAACCCGCTGACAAAACACAATAGTTGTTTATGTGTGTTGAAGCAACTAGCCCGCAATAGAAACGTTTCGGTTACGTAATTCAACCATCATAAAACAAGAGACTGTGCACGGTCGTGGACCTTCCAACATAAATATTGGCCTGTTCACGACAAACGCAAAACTACTCACTTTCGCGTAGAAACGGCAGACAGCAAAAGAGGGATTTTTGCCGTTTGCGGACAAAAACAAACGCGATGCTTATTAATCTCTCTATTTATCCAGTGGAGACGCGAAGGACATGCGGTGGCCTAATGGTTAGCGCGTTGCACTCCGGATCGAGCGATCCAGGTTCGACTGAGCTCTGGCCGGGTCATTGTGTTGTGTTCTTGGTAAAGACACTTTACTCTCACAGTTCCTCTCTCCACCCAGTAGTATAAATGGGTATGTTGGACTAGCATCCCATACAGGGGAGTAGCAATATTCCTAGCCGCTTCATGCCAATTTGAGTAAACTGGAGTTAAGCACTGGCCTGTTAAGCAAACAATCCACTGGATAGCGATTTATCCGATAGATAGCGTTATTCACCCTTTGAACAAGCGGCCCTGTTCCTAAACCGTGATTATCATATCTTTATCTCGCACAGAAATGCTTTACTCGCCGCAAAGCGTACCCCTGTGTAGAAACCACTTGTTTATGAGTCGATTGTTAGGGCAAGCTCACTCTCTCATCCTCTCCCCCCCCCCCCCCTCCCCCCCCCCCTCCCCCAGTGAGGCATAAGGCCGTAGAAGGGCAAACGGCAAACTCTAAATACTAAATACTAAACAGTTCCTTACCCAGAACGTATGAACACTAATCTTTTGTTGTTCTGTTCTGTTGTAGTTTGGTGGGAGAAGTGTTTGATGTGCTGGGTGAGAAACAACACGTTGCATTTGACGACCTGGCTAAACTGCATCAGCTAGGACTGGTAACGAGTCTCTTTAGTGTTCTCTTTAGAAGGAAAAAGAATTATTGAACTATCTACGAAATATCCCGCATATAGCCATGACTTGCCTTATAAATTTCTCTCGTGTTCTCAAATGCCCGTCGTGTTTTTGCGTTCGACTGAAAGGAGAACGATTCCTAATTTCCGCGTAGGAAACCTGTGGTCTCGTAGGTATCCTGTGAACGCAAGCGAATGTCCAACCGTCGTCCAACCTCGTCCCCAGGGCCATCTCCTCTTTCAAGATAGCGGGTGGGCGCGAAGAACACCCTGGCGAACAGCAGGTCACGTGTCTCCAAAAATATTAGAGATTTTGATTGTTTCAAAATGGCGGCGGACTCGCGATTGGCTAATTTTGTGGCCACGTGACCTGCTGTTCGCCAGAATCTTCTTCGCGCCCACTCGCTATCTTGAAAGCGGGGATGGCCCTGGGGACGAAGTTGGCGAAAGTCTCCAACTGATTTTCGTTCGATGAACCGTTCATCTTTTCGTCGCCATCTTGAATGACGTCGCATTCTCGTTGCGCAACATACACAAGGACAATATTTATGTCTCGTGGTGTTAGACTTCTCGAGACTTCGCTACAATGTTGGCTTTCGCGATTCTAGCTGGACTTCTGCTGTTCGCTCAGTAAGTTCATGCTTGTCGCAACTGCAGCAACGGTGAAGGGATTTTTGCTGTGTCGTTTGGCAATGGATCTGATGGATTTCTGTTTTGTCGTTCGGTGTTGGATTTCTGTTGTAATTTATAGATCAATAGTTTGCCTTGAGATTAACCTGTCGAACGCACTCTCTTAATCTGTGATTACAACTAGTATGTATAGTTTACTGAAAAAACTCGCAGCAGTGTATCTTTAGGCTCTCAGAATAGAGTACTTAAGTCATGACGTCACAAAAATTAAATTTGCAAAATTATGAGATTTGATCAGCTATTCGGAGGAAGCATGCCAAAAAACGTCCACTTGCCAAAATTAGCTAAAATTAGCACTCCATTGCAATTTGCGGCTGAGATGTGGGCATTTCAGGTTTTAATTTCTCCATACAAACCCAAAATTAGAGAGGTTTGTATGGGACAGTACCAAACTTTGAACTTCTATAACTTCTGTTCTATTCGTGCTAACAAGTTGAAATTTTGTGGCTGATCATACAGCAGCAATCTTTATCTAATGATGGGATTTTGAGGCTTGATAAAAGTAATTTGAAAATTTGTGACGTCACACTTTACCACTCTATAAAGCAAAGTATAATAATTCGTGTTACCGTAGGCAATGAAGGAGACATTACGTCGTCATCCCCCTGCAGCTGGTATAGCTTTACGGATGTGTGAAAAGGAACAAGAAATAGGAGGATACAAATTGCCTGCCAACATCCCTATTATGGTACATAATTATTTTCTAGCAATTGTTTGGTTTTTCAGTCGGGGGAACAAGTGCCGGTTTTGGCAAATCTTCGTGGAAGCACTTTAAGAGTTTCCGAATCATTTTATCCAATCAAAAACTAGCGCGAACACTCACGAATACTCCGATAGCAATCGTGCCAGCAAATACGTCATGTTGCTTAGCAACTTCGGGTACGAACACCGCGGGCTCAGTCCCGTTGTGGAGTCGAGATTTCGCCATAAAAACTGGTTCTTGTTTCCCCGACTGTGTTTGTTTGAACCCTTTCAGTTTAAAACTCGAAATATAAATTCTCCGCACTGACGTGCGCACATTTTCTTTCATATTAGCTCGGAGAATTTGGTGCTTCATCGAAATCAACACCGTAAAATCCCGGCTATATATATTAAAGCCCTGTTCTTATACTACTTTGTAAGGTGTTTTGGGTGGGCAAACGGGGAGGAATGAGCTGATACGAAACGAGTTAAGGCTTACTTTACATGTGGCTGTACCTTTTGAGTCTGTGGATGAAACCCCTAATGTGTGACCATTCAAATTGAAGCTATTGAGCAGTGCTTTCAAGTGGTGCTTTTTTTTATTGACAATTTTCGAAATGAAATTCAAGATTTTTCCCTCCTTTCTCTTGAGAGTGAAACGGTTAAACTTAACGTAACAACAAAAATCGATAACTTCCGGTACCCATTTATACCTTGCCCAGGAACACACCAGAATGACCCTGGTCAGCGCTCGAATCCGGAGTTCAACGCGCTAACCATTAGTCATTCCCTGACCAACTTTTCTTCCTTTTCTCCTCAAACATGGCTGATTAATTGCTTTGTTTTTAAATTATTAATTTGCAGGTAAGCAGCTATGTCTGCAATTACTCGCCTAAGTACTGGACCAACCCAGAGGAGTTTTAACCCTTACAGATTCGACGATGAAGAACTAGTAAAGAGGTATTGAGTACAAAGAGGTTATTCAGCGGAAAGTTGTGTAATACGGCTGGGTATTTTTACGAGTCAGTTTTTATTTTTCGAGTCGCTAGGCGAGAAAAAAAAAACACTGACGAGTAAAAATGCCCAGCCGTATCACACAACTTTCCGCTGAATAAATTGTTTATTATACGACATAATATCTTTCCAAAATATAGGCTTTCAACGGTGTTTTTCCGTAGCGCGCGGTCAGGGGGACTAAGACCCGTGTAATACATAAACAATAACCTCCATTTGGCGAGGAAATATGCTCGGATATTTGTCCGCGGACATTATCTGTTCCGAGAAGCGAACAGTTTTCCCGAGAGCGAAGCTCGACGAAAACTGTGAGCTTCGAGGAACAGATAATGTCCAAGGACAAATATCCGAGCATATTTTTGAAGACAAATGGAGGCTATTGTAGTTATTATCCTTCAAATATTTTTTCACAAGGCCGCTCTGTTTGCCGTGGAAGATCTCGGTCGGCCAAGCTGTTTAAACATCAAAATAATTCTGCTGGCATTCAAAAATATTTCTAGTCTGTTCAAAACAATCCGTTTTATTTAATTTAGCAATTTATTTGAGACGAAAACTGAACCTGCGAACGTGAAACGCAAATTTTCAAACTGGGGAATATCACTTGGGGGAATATCACCCGGATATTCCCCAGTTTTGGCTGCGTCACGCGACGTGTTTAGACCAATCGCGCGCAAGAAAATTTTTTTTATGGATTATAAGGTCTCATATTTGCTCTCGTCTTTGTGCGTATTCGCACTCTAAAGTGCTATGTCGTATAATAAAAACCTTTATTTGAACTCACTGTTTCTCTGTATCAGGGTCGCTAGTATGACAGGTGTTTTTGTGGTAACGCGAAATAACTGTTTTAAAACCCTTTAGTGTGGTACGCTCCAGTTGTGTCTTACATGACGTAGTCAAACGCTGAGTACAAGAGTTGAAGATGACTATTCCAACAAGTTGCACAAAAAATAGTTAATAGTTGTGCGAGATTTTCATAACTTGGCAGATACGATCGAAAACTGCCATATTAATTGATTCACCATTGACCGACACAGACAAATTCTCTCCGTTAAACATCTTCGACCCTCTTGTATTGTTTGTTTTTCGTGTTTTAGATCTCATTACACGTACTTCCCGTTTTCACTTGGACACGTAACTGCATTGGACAAAACTTCGCGCGCAGGTAACTTGAATTCCATCTTCCAGAGACTTCTGGGAAACAGCTTAGCTCGCTAGGATTTCTGGGTACTTTGGTTAGACTACAAAATGATTCTATTTACAGCAAGGAGCCCAAAAGTGTGACCACTTTTTAATTAATTCACATCCTTTCGTGCGTGCAGACTATCCAATCAGAAGCCGAGGATATAGTTTTTCTCGGCTTCTGATTGAATGTGAATTAATTAATAGTGGTCACACTTTTGGGCGCCTTGCTGTAAGTAGTGTTCCAAAAGTCAACGAATGATGATGGTATTCAACAACTTTCGGGACAAACCCAGCCCGCAGTATTACAAATTTCACTCTTGATTGCTTAGACCAAATGCAAACATATTTTGTTCAAAACCGCCTAAACCTTTCACTAGGTGACTTATAGAGTGAAAGTAAAGCCTTTTTCGGAGCCTAGCAAGTGTCTACTCTGCTCTGCTGTGCTCTGCTCTGCTCTACTCTGCTCTGCTCTGCTCTGCTCTGCTCTGCTCTGCTCTGCTCTGCTCTGCTCTGCTCTGCTCTGCTCTGCTCTGCTCTGCTCTGCTCTGCTCTGCTCTGCTCTGCTCTGCTCTGCTCTGCTCTGCTCTGCTCTGCTCTGCTCTGCTCTGCTCTGCTCTGCTCTGCTCTGCTCTGCTCTGCTCTGCTCTGCTCTGCTCTGCTCTGCTCTGCTCTGCTCTGCTCTGCTCTGCTCTGCTGCTCAAAAGGTTAATTTTGTAGAGAGCAAAAAGTGTCTTATAACTCCTTCTTTTGTGATTTACCACTAGATCGAGGCCAAGGTTTTGTTGTCACGCTTTCTTCAGACGTTCAAGTTTTCTCTGGTACCTGGC